GGCCGGCGGGCGGCGGACTATGAGGCGCCCACCATGGTGCGATGCGACCGCGGGCTGCAGATGCTGCTGACCACGGCCGGAGCCTTCGCCGCCTTCTCGCTCATGGCCATCGCCATCGGCACCGACTACTGGCTCTACTCCAGCGCGCACATCTGCAACGGCACCAACCTGACCATGGACGACGGGCCCGCGCCCCGCCGCGCCCGCGGCGACCTCACCCACTCGGGGCTGTGGCGGGTGTGCTGCATCGAAGGTACGGCCGGCCCCGGCACCCACCCACCCGGCACCACACACACGCACACGCACACCCTGCCCGGGGTGCCGGCCGGGAAGGGGGTGGGCGCGGCACTGGCTTCGCGCGACACACAAAGGAGCCGGAGCGAGCGGGCGGGTCCCCTCGCGGCCAGCTGTGCACCAGCTCGGGGTCCCTCACACCGAGCCCACAAACTCCACGCACACGCACACCCCCTCGCACACAGACACAATGAAACACACCGAAACTCACGGGCGCGCGTGCAGCCCGAGACCGGAGCGATCCCGAGGGGCCGCGCCGGAGCCCCCGGGGGAGGTGGAGGATGGCGTGGGGGCGGGAGGAGGCTGGGGTTGGGGGGAGCGGACCGGAGAGGAGGGGAGGGAGGAGGGGGAGGGGTTGCTTGGCAACCGGTGTCTGTGCGATTGCTATGGTAACTGGCCATCCTGGGGCGGGGCCGGCGGGGGGCGGGGAGCGCCGGGGCCGCTCCTCGCTCGCTCCAGGCCGGGGCCGAGGGGTGGGGGTGGGGGCCGGGCTCCGAGCGGCTCCGGGCGAGCGGGGTCGCGGGAGCCTGACGCCGCCCAGACCCTGCTCCGCCGCCTACTCTTCCATGGGGCCCCGGCCCGCTGCTCCCTGCTCGGTGGGGAGGGAGGGGTGCGTCACCGAGACTCCCCCCCCCACCCCGACTCGGGGAGCAAGCCGTTCGTCGCGGTCCCTCGACAGGGAGGCTGCGGGAGACCTTGGCAGGACACCGGAGTGCGCAGGGGCGACCCGCGGACCGACAACTGCCTGGGAGGGGCGTGGCCGCCCCGTCGGGGCAAGAGGGGCGGGGAGCTGCGCCCCCCCAGATGCGCGAGGAGGCCGTGTAGTGGGTGTTGTAAGGTTGGAACGCCTCTGGGGGCCGGGATTGGGTGTCCCGGGACCGTGGGGACCGCTCCCTCTGCGGGAGGCGCCCGGACGCCTCCAGTGGCTCAATGCGCCCGACTTCAGCGCCTCCCGCCCGCCCTGCTGCGGAACTGGAACTAACAGGTGGCTGTGGAGGGGCGGTCTGGTCCCAGCCAGGTTGTGGACGGGGCCTGCCGCTTGGTCTTGGCTTTCAGATTGGAGGAGGGATGGGGGGAAGTTGGCGGAACGTTCCTTTCCGATATCCTTGGACAGAGTTTCCTCTTTCTTTTTCTGTAACCTTTTCCCGTGTGTTAACTCCTCCCCTCCGTCATTCGGGGAGTTCTCCCACACACTCAGGCTTCCTTACTGCAGTTACGGCCCCTGCAAATAGTTCAGCGGCGTTGGAGCTTGGTGGAGGTTGGTAGGGAGCTCTTAAAGAGATGGCCCTTTTTCTGGCCGCATTTGGAGGCCTCTTAAAAGAAAGGCTTTATAAAGCTGGGTCGGCTCCGCCAGGTTGAACTTGCGCCCTTCCCCTCCTCCTAGACCTGCTCTGGCGGGAATCCTGCCCACCTCTGCCCCCCACACCCTCTCCCAAACGAGGCTGCCTTGCCCTTTGCAATCTGGAGTTTAACGCCAAGGCTAAGTGGAGTCTTGGAGGAGCGGGCATGGGCAATCAATAGTTTGGGAAACACGGCCACACGAAGGATCGGTGGGCCCACGATCACACCCTCCCCTTTTCTTTTGAAAAACATCATTTCTGGTGTGCAATTGCTCAGATCACGAACACCTACTCTTCTCATCTGGAGAATGTACCCACGTCATTACCTGCCACAGCACCTGAGTTAGACACAGAAGAGGGGCTGCAGAGCCCCCATGTTCTGCCTCACAGCTCTGCGTGGCACGGTAAGTCATGCCACTGTCACCTCCCACATGCACACGTGGAGCCCAGGCCTCCCAGTTTCCCTGTGGAAATCGGAACTAACTCCTCCACAGCGGCGAGCCTGGCCTCTGCAGAGCAGCTCGAATGCCTCCTTTATTAATTCCTCATCCTAATTAGGATTGATGCTGCACTTAGCATCTAGCCAGCTGCCTGGAGCCATTTGCACCCGGTGTTCATCAAGAGAGCCCCAAGCCGATCTGGGCAGCTGGCTCCGCTGGCGGAGGGAGGGTGGGGAACTGCCATCTGGGGGACTTCACCGTAAGAACTGAGCTGCCTCTGTCATCCCCCCACCCCCACCCCCCACTTGAGCTCAGGGGTTCTGAGGGCCGAGCCAGGCCACATCCAAAGGCTGGAACATCCTCGGACCAACCCAGGGCTGGGAGCGCTGGTCCAGGATTCCTTGTTGTGGCTAGCATCATCCATCCCTGGACCTGGGTGGAAATTGCTGGCAGACCGCGGAGAAGCACAGTCGCCCGACCCCGGTGATGCCTCCACCTGCCAGCGAGGGTCCAGGCCAGGACCCGGACAGCACAGCCATCCCAAGCTTCCCTGGGGCCCTGGTCACCCCAGTGTTGGCTTTGTGTGTAAAATGCATGATTTCCACCTGTTCTCTAGCAAAGTACCCCCAAAGCTTGACATGGGGGAAAAAAAGAAAAGAAAAGATCAAGCCTCTGGGATGAACCTGGAAGAAATCCTGTAGCCGGCCTCTAACAAAGCACTGGTTGTGACAGTGGGACTCGGAAGGGTTTGCTGGCAACTCACAGTGATTCCGTTTCCTGGTTGTCTCCCATCGATGATGCTGCCGGGGCCCGGAGAGCCCAGCCCTCCATGTACTGAAGGCATCCCTACAGTCGGACAGGCCCGCCCCCAGCCGGCCAGGGCTGCCATCACCCCAGCTTCTTTCTGCTCCCCCCCCCCACCCCGAGCCCCTCTATTGGACAAGCGCTCAGAGCCTGTGCATTTTAGCACATGGCATGCTCACAGCAGCCCCGAGAGGATGCTGTCTGCACCCCCGTCTGCAGCCGAGGGTACGGAGGCTCAGAGAGGGTAAGGCACTTGCCCAGATGCGCCCAGGTAGGAGGCTGCTGGGCCAGATTTGAGCCTTTGTCTCACTACAAAGCTCTTCCCACCATGTCATCCTGCCCTTTCCCAAACAGCTTCTGGGTTGCCATTAAAAATAGAACCAAGTACTTGACTACCCAGTGGAGCCTAGCTCTGAGGTTGAGCTGACAGCAGCATGAAGCCATTCAGAAGTGAGAATGTACAGGAGATGCCCAAATTGCATAACATACTCTCTCTCCCCTCCCCTTCCCTCCCCTCTCCTCCCCTCTCCCCTCGCTCCTCCTCTTCTCTTCTCTTCTCTTCTCTTCTCTTCTCTTCTCTTCTCTTCGTCTATTTCTGCCTCTGTTTCTGTTTCTGTTTCTGTCTCTCTCTCTCTCTTCTACCACGTTCTGGACTAGCCCATCCCCATCACCATCAGTCTCCTGCTCCCTCCCTTCCCAAGCCCACCTCATTCTTTCTTTGTGTCTTTGGTGACACTCAGCCCAAAGCTGGGGACACAGGAAAGAAGTCATAAAGCTTTGTGGACTTTCCTATCACAGGTATCACCAACCAGCATTTGTTCAATCTCTAATGCATTTTGCAATTAGGCAAGGTATAGAATGTAAGCAAGCATTATGGAGCATGTACTATGTGCTGGGAACAGAAGACCTCGTGTAAACATAGGAGGGGAGGAGACTGTGGGCCCAGAGGGGCGCAGCTTATGTCAGCCTGCCAAAGCCCCCACGCCCACTGTTAGCTCCGGAGTATTCGCTGGGGCCGCTGGAGGCCAGGGTCCATGAGGGACCCACCTCCCTCACCTGGGCAACATCCCTCACACCCGTATACCCAGACTTCATTCACACCATGGCACACAGAGAAAAAGAAACCATTAGTACTGCACCCTGGGGCCAGGGGAGAGAGAAGACAGCCACCAGGGACTACCCAGGGGCTCCAGTCCGCCCAGGCCCCGCCCAGGCCCCGCCCAGTTGCCCAGAGGCCTGGGGGCGGAGCTTACTCCTCCAGGACCCTTGGAACGCTTTCTGGGCAGGTGCTGGGCAGTTCTGCCTTACCATGCTCCCAACATAGGACCATTCAGAGATGTTCTGAATTAAATAATGTCCTTTCCACACCCACTCCACTCCAGGCACTGGGCTGGGGACTTTTCCTGTCTGTGTTTGCTTTCATTTTCTCTTGCAAAAACTCACAGGCAGCATGTCCAGTCAAGCCCAGGTGGGTGGACAGCAGCTACAGCGGGGCGCTCCCAGCTAGTCACCTCACCTGCCGGCTCTCCTTGGCCCTCTGGTGTTGATAATAACAGCCATCACTTAGTGAAGACCTCCGTGCAGGACTATGTTAGTTCATGTCATTGTCAACAACACTTCAAGGTAAATATTAATTATCTGCCTTTCATAGATGTAGAAGATGAGGCTTAAGATGGTCACAGCTCTTGAGTATTAGAGAATGTCTTCGGTCTGGACAGATTAGCCTGGCTTTCCACCAGCCAGAGGATGTCCTTTATTTGAACCACACAGATTTGAGAAGGGGCAAGTAAGGGGGTTGTCTTATTCAGTTTGCGCTGCTGTAACAAAATATGATAGACCCAGTGGCTTAAACAACATTTATTTCTTAGAGTTCTGGAGGCTGGAAGCCCAAGATCGAGCACCAGCCGATTTGGCTCCTGGCTTGTAGGTGGCCCCTTCTCATTGTGTCCTCACAAGGTAGAGTGCAGGCTCTCTGGTCTCTCCTTAAAAGGGCACTAATCCCATCATGAGGACCTCCTCATGAGTCACCGCCTCCAAGACCTCATCTAAACCTAGTCACCGCCTCCAAAGCCCCACCTCCAAATACCACTGGGGGTTAGAGTGTCAATGTATATGAATTTCGGGGGGACATCAGCATTCAGTCTGTTAGAGGGCTGTTCTCCCTTCCTGTCCCTGCTCCCTAACTGGTACTCACTCTCTAGTCACTCAGGAAGGGGCCCTGGCAGTCCCTTCTCCTGTCCACCTTCCCTTAATGCCCTGGTTCTTCACTGCTTTCTCTCTTCTTGTAAGAAAAAACCAGGTCCTTTTAACTGGACCCGGTTGACTTAGTGAGGAGAAGCTGGGGATCCTGGCGGTCTGATTTAAGGACCTCACCA